GTGATAAATTATGCTTACTCAAGCAAATTTTTTTTTTTAAAGCTCTTACTACGACAACCTCATTACCTAGCCACTATGACCGTTCACTTACCAACAACTATTGTGTGGAAATATATTGCCACAGTCGTTGACCATTGATTGTTTGATATCAAAGCAATTTTACTCCAGGCACAGAATGAGTATGCCAGTTTATCTGAGGGGGGGGGGCTATCGAAGCAACGAACGCACGCAAGTGCACTTGGTAAGTGATTGAGAAAAGGAGGGAGCAAGAAAGCAGTTGCATTGAGAACCACTGCAGGCTCAACCGAAATGGGTACTCACCTGGCAACAAATTTAATTATTGTATTTCTTAATAACTCTAATTACCAAGAAATAAGCCTTACTAGCCAATAGAGTGTTACCTGACAACTTGAATACATAATATTGAAAATTTTCGTAAGCAGTTAAAAATTAATAGGCTCCTAATTCTTTTAATATATTAGACCAATTCTAATTATCCTGAAGATAATAATTTGATGACCTAATAAAGTGAAAAACAAATATTAACTAAGTTATTTTTTTTTTTAAAAAGCTATGAATGTTACTGTATTCAGTTGTTGTATAATTTAAATTCCTTGTGAAGTATATGCACAAGAATTTATAAATAGACAATCGGATTCAGCTTTTCGTCTTCATCTTTGGTAAATGTTAGCACTTATTGCTTATTCTTCTATGTGTTACAAAAAATACTTTGTTAAGTGTGCTTGAATTCTTTTAAGATTACTTAAATTGTTGGAAGGAGTGAGAAGAATGCTAATCATTTATAAAGAAACCAACTGAATCAGCTTTTTGTCTTAAATTTTAGTAAATGTTACTATACTTAGCTTATACTTAAGTGTTGTAAAGATAATATGCTGTGGAGTGTGCTTGATTTTTAAAGTGAAAATTTCTTTAGGCGCGTTGGATGACTTTCTATAGAGAAAAGTTCTTGGTTTTACGTCAGATTGCTCTCATTTAACAGCAAGGCGATCCCTGCTGAGAGTCGTATGTGAGCATGAGAGAATGGAGTGTTGGCAAGGGGATCGGGAGGAGAAGGGGATCCCGCTCTGTATTGGCCAGCAGTAGAGAATAAAAAAGTAGCTTGCTGGCGTGGTGGAGTGTGGCGGGGTATGGCCATGTCAACAAAAGCTAAGTACTTTCTCCTTGTCTAACGTCAGCCACTGCGCAGTTCACATAGTGCGCACTTGAATTTTAAATTAAACTGCATGTATGTGTATTAATGGTGTACGTATAAAATGTAACTATATCTCACTATTGTAATTTAGACGTACTATATTGGTGTATAGCTTTTTGCAATGTGTCAATGTGTTTACTATAAATTTTATACACGAAATTGTGGATGTTACAGTATTATTGTACAAGTGTATAGTGTATAAGTGTATATCTAATAGTACCAGTACCAATTACCCATGCAAAATTAACAATTAAGCTTTAACTGCGTAGTTTCACACGTGCACGGCGATTTGTGGTGTATATACGTGACTAGTAAGTCACTAGTAGTTACTAAGCTTCTATAAACTGTAGCATCGTACACATATGCATGCCCATACATATTTGCAACTTACTGTCGTCACGTCGTCACTCTTTGTTATTAATTGAATTTTGCCTTATAATATCTTACATTATACTCAAATTATTTTAACTTATAAAGGTATGATTTGGTATTTGATTGCAAGTTTAATTACCTAACTCTTTTTCTTAAAAAAATTTATTAGTAGGGGTAAACAATGACTGTACGTATTATTTAATAGCCTTTACAGAAAACTCAATTACTTATAAAAAACAATGATCAAAATGACTGAAGGGTTTGAGGTAAGGAAAATGAGGAGACGACTTTATTTATTTATTTAACAAAATTATTTATTTAACTAACTTGACAAAAACTAACTGATGACTGACTGAAACTTACTTTCTAAATGCACAGACTTATAAAATACAAAGAAGAGCTAAATGTTATACGTGTGCACTCGACTACGGTCAAATCAGAACTGCCTCACACTTGACTGGCGCTGTACATGCCGCTTCTCTAACACAAACATACATACGCTCGTGCAGACGCGCATGCCTACAGCCTATCAAAATAGTCGTGCACTTCAACAATAACACTCTCTTTTAGGTAAGTATTAAAGGTTCCTTCTAGAAAATCAAGTCAAGTATTTACAAATCTTATGTCGAGTACTCCAAAGAAATTTATTAAAACATGATAATAAGCCTACATCGGATGTAAATACTCTTGTATTTACGGAAAAGAAGAAAAGGTAGGAGAAAGGACAGAAAAGTTCTTCAATAAGCTTTTTCTTACTTCTCAGTGTCTATTGAAGTGAGATTCAAAAACAAGTATTTTCCTAACAATTTGCATAATTTTCAAAAATTTTAAGCTTAGAAAATACCTGTATTATCGTTCAATAAACTTTATAATTTGGTATTCAAAATACGTATAATAAAGATGTATGTATGTTATCAGATGTATTATTATAATTCACATAATTACATAAATTGCATAATTTTAGATTACGTATTTTGAGAACAGTTAGGGATTTCGATAGCTGCTATTTTATTTTAGAACTTAAATAAAAAAATAATTAATATTTTTTGAGTTTTTACTTTTGTTGGCAGTCCCATGACTGCCCACTGTTTTTTTTATTTTATGATCTTTATCAATCTTCCCCACCACCAAGTGTCCCAATAATTAAAATTCTTATACATAACTAAAAACATTTTTTTTAGAACAAATGGTCAGACAATATCATCACAAGATTCACGCAGAACAGAAAGTATAGAGATTAGAGATTTGCCCAATGTTACTGTTACTAGGAATCTGAAGAAAAAAAACAACATTAACCACCTTGCTCATCAAACAAGCATTATGGAAACACAAAGAGATTGTGATGGATCAATGAAGATGGCCTATTGGTTTTAAAACTATAAGTTGTATTCACTTGGCATTAAAAAAAACCTAATAGTATAAGTAGTAATGTTTATTGTAAAAAAAAGACATACTCATTTACATTTATAGGGCTCACACAAGGAACACCAAAAAAAAGACCTTATGATTTACAATGAATAAATTTTTTTTGCTAAGAATGTCGGATAAGGACTGATTTTCTTTTACGTTTTCTTCTCTTCCTTATCTAGTTCTATACTTTCCCCCCTTTGGTCGAAGTTTTAGCGAGATTATGATAAAAGTAAAAGGTATACACAGTCAGATAGGTCCACTCCAGTCATAGATTGGAANAACTATAAGTTGTATTCACTTGGCATTAAAAAAAACCTAATAGTATAAGTAGTAATGTTTATTGTAAAAAAAAGACATACTCATTTACATTTATAGGGCTCACACAAGGAACACCAAAAAAAAGACCTTATGATTTACAATGAATAAATTTTTTTTTAAATTATATTAAATTATTAATGTATTTACTTACAGTCGTTTTATTAGTTTTGTATTTTAGTTTTTTTGTTATCTGTTTCTAAGCGTTATATGTAAGCGTCATTGTGTTAAAATGGTGATAAATTATGCTTACTCAAGCAAATTTTTTTTTTTAAAGCTCTTACTACGACAACCTCATTACCTAGCCACTATGACCGTTCACTTACCAACAACTATTGTGTGGAAATATATTGCCACAGTCGTTGACCATTGATTGTTTGATATCAAAGCAATTTTACTCCAGGCACAGAATGAGTATGCCAGTTTATCTGAGGGGGGGGGGCTATCGAAGCAACGAACGCACGCAAGTGCACTTGGTAAGTGATTGAGAAAAGGAGGGAGCAAGAAAGCAGTTGCATTGAGAACCACTGCAGGCTCAACCGAAATGGGTACTCACCTGGCAACAAATTTAATTATTGTATTTCTTAATAACTCTAATTACCAAGAAATAAGCCTTACTAGCCAATAGAGTGTTACCTGACAACTTGAATACATAATATTGAAAATTTTCGTAAGCAGTTAAAAATTAATAGGCTCCTAATTCTTTTAATATATTAGACCAATTCTAATTATCCTGAAGATAATAATTTGATGACCTAATAAAGTGAAAAACAAATATTAACTAAGTTATTTTTTTTTTTAAAAAGCTATGAATGTTACTGTATTCAGTTGTTGTATAATTTAAATTCCTTGTGAAGTATATGCACAAGAATTTATAAATAGACAATCGGATTCAGCTTTTCGTCTTCATCTTTGGTAAATGTTAGCACTTATTGCTTATTCTTCTATGTGTTACAAAAAATACTTTGTTAAGTGTGCTTGAATTCTTTTAAGATTACTTAAATTGTTGGAAGGAGTGAGAAGAATGCTAATCATTTATAAAGAAACCAACTGAATCAGCTTTTTGTCTTAAATTTTAGTAAATGTTACTATACTTAGCTTATACTTAAGTGTTGTAAAGATAATATGCTGTGGAGTGTGCTTGATTTTTAAAGTGAAAATTTCTTTAGGCGCGTTGGATGACTTTCTATAGAGAAAAGTTCTTGGTTTTACGTCAGATTGCTCTCATTTAACAGCAAGGCGATCCCTGCTGAGAGTCGTATGTGAGCATGAGAGAATGGAGTGTTGGCAAGGGGATCGGGAGGAGAAGGGGATCCCGCTCTGTATTGGCCAGCAGTAGAGAATAAAAAAGTAGCTTGCTGGCGTGGTGGAGTGTGGCGGGGTATGGCCATGTCAACAAAAGCTAAGTACTTTCTCCTTGTCTAACGTCAGCCACTGCGCAGTTCACATAGTGCGCACTTGAATTTTAAATTAAACTGCATGTATGTGTATTAATGGTGTACGTATAAAATGTAACTATATCTCACTATTGTAATTTAGACGTACTATATTGGTGTATAGCTTTTTGCAATGTGTCAATGTGTTTACTATAAATTTTATACACGAAATTGTGGATGTTACAGTATTATTGTACAAGTGTATAGTGTATAAGTGTATATCTAATAGTACCAGTACCAATTACCCATGCAAAATTAACAATTAAGCTTTAACTGCGTAGTTTCACACGTGCACGGCGATTTGTGGTGTATATACGTGACTAGTAAGTCACTAGTAGTTACTAAGCTTCTATAAACTGTAGCATCGTACACATATGCATGCCCATACATATTTGCAACTTACTGTCGTCACGTCGTCACTCTTTGTTATTAATTGAATTTTGCCTTATAATATCTTACATTATACTCAAATTATTTTAACTTATAAAGGTATGATTTGGTATTTGATTGCAAGTTTAATTACCTAACTCTTTTTCTTAAAAAAATTTATTAGTAGGGGTAAACAATGACTGTACGAATTATTTAATAGCCTTTACAGAAAACTCAATTACTTATAAAAAACAATGATCAAAATGACTGAAGGGTTTGAGGTAAGGAAAATGAGGAGACGACTTTATTTATTTATTTAACAAAATTATTTATTTAACTAACTTGACAAAAACTAACTGATGACTGACTGAAACTTACTTTCTAAATGCACAGACTTATAAAATACAAAGAAGAGCTAAATGTTATACGTGTGCACTCGACTACGGTCAAATCAGAACTGCCTCACACTTGACTGGCGCTGTACATGCCGCTTCTCTAACACAAACATACATACGCTCGTGCAGACGCGCATGCCTACAGCCTATCAAAATAGTCGTGCACTTCAACAATAACACTCTCTTTTAGGTAAGTATTAAAGGTTCCTTCTAGAAAATCAAGTCAAGTATTTACAAATCTTATGTCGAGTACTCCAAAGAAATTTATTAAAACATGATAATAAGCCTACATCGGATGTAAATACTCTTGTATTTACGGAAAAGAAGAAAAGGTAGGAGAAAGGACAGAAAAGTTCTTCAATAAGCTTTTTCTTACTTCTCAGTGTCTATTGAAGTGAGATTCAAAAACAAGTATTTTCCTAACAATTTGCATAATTTTCAAAAATTTTAAGCTTAGAAAATACCTGTATTATCGTTCAATAAACTTTATAATTTGGTATTCAAAATACGTATAATAAAGATGTATGTATGTTATCAGATGTATTATTACAATTCACATAATTACATAAATTGCATAATTTTAGATTACGTATTTTGAGAACAGTTAGGGATTTCGATAGCTGCTATTTTATTTTAGAACTTAAATAAAAAAATAATTAATATTTTTTGAGTTTTTACTTTTGTTGGCAGTCCCATGACTGCCCACTGTTTTTTTTATTTTATGATCTTTATCAATCTTCCCCACCACCAAGTGTCCCGATTCTGCCCCACCCACTGCCTCTTACTGTGACCCGGTTGTGCTGTAGCTCAAACCACTCCTCCAACAGTGCTGACCGCCCAATTAGCCTCTCCCATCACCACCAACTTTTCCCTCTTCACAGCCCAACTATAGATAAAGCCTTTCTCCCCACCACCATTCCAGAAAAAGTTTGGGAGTGTGCCAGAACCCTCATGGTTTACTTACTCGTCATACCATTTTAAAAATATATATAAGTTAATTTCGTTGATCTTCTGGGGCAAGTGAAAACACTTAGTTAAAGCAACGTTTCGTCGACTGGTGTGCCGACCTCTTTAGGCTTTATTAATGATAATAAATTTTCACAATGACTATTATGGACAATAGATACATATAATGTAGAACTAACAAATAAATTACCTTAATTTAAACCGTGAAAGACAATTTATTTAATGTATCGAGCAAACGGCTCACACTCAAGTCAAACTGGCTAAGGCCCCATTACCACAATGTACCCCGCTTTTACAACAAACACACATACACCAAAACACACACAAGTTTTGCAGTGCGATGACCCAAGCCCTCAGTTCACATATCACATTATCAGTATACAATTCTAAGAACGTACATAGTCTTTAAAAACGTACAGAATCAAATAACCATCAACAAGTGTGATTTAGATTATAAACATCTTCTTTCTTATTTATATGATGTATGTTGACGGTAATGTGTAACATTTCAGAGATCAAATGTTTACCATAATTCGGCTCTTTGTCTAATATTTTTATATTGTTCCACTAAAATTTATGGTTATTAAAAATTTGGTGTAAAGTCACTACCGATTTGAGATTGTAGTTGTTTTGGTATTCTCGTTTTCTCTCTTTCAAAGTTCTCTTCGTTTTACCTGTATATTTTGCTAAACAGTCACTGCATGTGATTTCATATACGACTTTAGTATTATCCAAAGTATCAGTAGTACCTTTTCCCAACTGTACAATATGATTTAGTTTTTTGTTTATTCCTGGAATTACTTGTATATTAAATTTTTTTTTTTTAACTTTGTATCTTATTCAAGTTCTTTAGAAAAAATGGTAAGCTTATAATGGTTGCATTTAAAGGTAATTGCTCTGAAATTTTCTCTGTTACGTCATTATTTATCTTACAAAGTCTTTTCTTAATATGTTTATTAATAAAATGCTTAAAATAGCCATTCTCCAGCAGCATCTGTCTTACAATGTTCACGTTTTCGTTATGGAATAAACTGTCAGAGAGTCTTGAGAATGGCATTTTATTAATATACATATTAACAAAAGACTTTGTGAGATCAATAATAATGTTACAGAGAAAATTACAGAGCAATTACCTTTAAACGCAACCATTATAAGCTTACCATTTTATATCAATAATTTTAATAAGATACAAAGTTTAAAAAAAAAAATTCAATATACAAGTAATTCCGAGAATAAACAAGAAATTAAATCATATTGTAAAGTTGGGAAAAGATACTACTTATACGTTGGATGATACTAACGTCACATATGAAATCTTATACAGTGACTGTTCAGCAAAACATACAGGTAAAACAAAGAGAGCTTTAAAAAAGAGAAAACGAGAACACCAAAACATCTACAAACTCAAAGCAGTAGACAAAGAGCCGAATTATGGTAAACATATGATCTCTAAAATGTTACACATAACCCCCAACATTCATAATATAAATAAAAAAGTAGATGTTTATAATTTAAATCGCACTTATCGAAGTTTCTTGAATTCTGTACGTTTTCAAAGACTATGTACGTTCTTAGAATTGTATACCGATAATGTGGTATG